GATAGGGTTCATGGGGTCACGAAGAGTCGGACACGACTTAACGACTGAACAACAACAACACCTTGAATTTTTTCCGTAATGAATAGGAGCCATGTAATTCCATAAGAATTGATATAAAAGGACTTTGTCAAGGTACATGGTTCAACATTCTGTATGATTTGAAGATTCAACCTCGTGAATGATGCAGTGCAGTAATCCTACCTGAAGTTTACCAGAGGAAGGATCATCATGGCAAGTGTATGATATACCTGCTGATCTTAAAAAGAAGATCCAAAGCTTGTCTTGTAATGTTGTGGAAGCTACATTCATGTATGCAGTCTTTTTTGTTTTGGGATATACAATACATGTCTGGGTTAGGATAAATATAGGTCCAGGTAATCCTTGACTTACTACCATTCATTTAGCAACTGTTCGAAGTTACGATGGTGCTGGAAAAAGAGACTTATGACTGGCCCTTGTGCTTATGAGCATTGCAGCGTCCCTGGGGTCACATTATCAAAATTCAGGCGCTTGGCAACCGGCATGTATTTACAACAGTTGCAGCATCCCAAGGTCACATGATTGCCATATGTGACCTTCCCAGACGGCTTCTGACAAGCAAAATCAATGGGGAATCGCATGATTCACTTAACGACCATGGTGATTTGCTTAATGACCACCACAAAATTGGGTGCAGTCATGTGTTGCCTTGCTTAATGATGAATTTTCTGGTGCCTATTGTTGTAAGTCAAGGACTACCTGTATAAATGTAGTATAGGACCTTTTTTTCTTTTGTCCTTTCTCTTCTATTATAGTAATCAATGAAACTTGATATAAACAATATAAGATTCTTAAAATAAGATATAAATAATTGGAAGCTCTTAAATATGTAGCATGGAAGATTCATTTAAACATAGATCACTTGAAGTATCTGGACACTTTAGAAGATTTTCTTTAGATAAAACATGTTAATTGATTGGATGGCCACCTTTTTTTTTTTTTTTTAAATATCCACTTATGCCTGAGCTTTTTATCAATTAGATCATTTAACAAAAGATTTATTTTCTGTTTTCCTTTGAAACATTTTAGGCCCTAAAAGTTATAGGCAGTGGTTAGAAGCACAGCTTGTAAAGCAAAGACACATTTTGTTTTTCCGCTTAATCCAACTGCTTGTTTAATAAGGGACCTTCTAAAATGCAAAGTAAATTCTGAAGCTGCATTCCTAAACAAACAGTAAGGAATAAGAGTCACTGGGCACAGTGAGACTTTACTTTGGGTAAATAAGCATAGTTTCTAAAGGAGGCTTTAGAAATTCCCTGTGCTAAAATTAATTTAAGTACATTTGGTTCCTAGGCCACCTCCTGAAAGCTATTTCTGATGTTGGTTGATTGCTGCTCACTTGAGGAGGTTGCACACAGATCTCACTGTGGGATGACTGTAGATATCACATCCCAGTGGGCAATATATCTATTAACTGAGGCAAGTGTTTGCTTTTATAAATTACCTTTTCTAAGTAGCTAGACATTTTTAATTTGATTTAGATTAATGCTTTAAAGACACTAAAATTATGTGCTGTATTTTGAAATCAATTAGAGTATCAGATGTTTTCTTCATTAATTGGCGATGATGTGGTATATAAAATATAATACATGGAGCTTGGCCTGAAAAACCAGCAGCAAAATACAGAGAATTTGATTTTTTTTTAATTTAAATTCGACATGACTAAAAAAAAGGATAATATTACAAAATAGGTAGAAGCCATCTCTCTACACACTTTTGCTGAAAATCCTCTGTCGTCACAACTCCCACTGTTGCACTGGTTAAGGGCAGCCTTTTTCATTTCATGACAAGCCATTCCATCAACTTCTCCCATTTCTAAATTTCATTTTGGAAATTAACTATTTTGCCATTGCTGAATAAATAAAAGGTGCCTTCTCGTTATAAACTTTTTTGTAGAACCATTTTAGTCTTCTTTTAATTTGGGAAATTTTGCCAGGATTAAAAAAAAAAGTGCTGGATTCAGGTTTCGGGAAATTTATTTATTTATTTGCTAGGATTTGTCTGCTGCCCCAGCCCAGTCACTGATTCTGGGTAGTTCACAATGATACTAAATAAAAAACCAACAGTCAGTTAAAACAATTCAAGCTTCAACAGTAAAAAGACAACATTAAAAACCAGATTACAG